GTGTGTGTGTGTGTGAAGGAGCTGTGTGATCTGATATCAGGAAGTCATCGTTTGAATGAAAATTAAAAAAGCAAACATTCACAGCAGCTGTGAGGCTCAAACAGCTGGAAGAGAAGTCACCGTGTATGTGTGTTGGTTGTGGAAAAATATGAGCAATATGTGGGTTTTGCTTTTTCTTACCTGTATGCAGGTAACGTGCAGCAGTGGAGGAAGAATTACTCCGATTTGTACTATTATTAGTGCAACATTCACTTGAGTAAAAGTACATATTTGTCTTCAGCAAAACACACTTTTAATTAATTAAATTAAATTACTGCAAATTGTTGGGTTTTCATCACTGATGCATACATTTGTAAGAAACGTTTCAGTACTGTGTCTGGTTGAAGTGGAGCTGACTTTAACTACTTTATACAGTATGTTATTAGTTTATATTCTTACTATAAGTTCTGCATGTAAAATATGAATTCATAAATCTGTCACCACAGCTGTAAGACACATAACAGAAGTACAAGTAGTATAAAATGTATTAAATCCTTTTTAAACCTATATCAGTGGTCCATGTGGATAAAATCCTCTATATCATGGTATCTATTATTTTATAACCCTATATTAATGTTTCATTATACGGTAAACATTGCTGTGAAATCATATGAGAAGCTGTTAATGGATAAAATATCTCTTATAAAATCATGCAAATTGACCACAGTGAATTAAATGGTGTTGTAAATGCTCAGTATTTAAGTTGTCCCCCCCCTGTAGTACTCGAGTACACACACCTGGTTCCTTTCCTCCACTGCTGCACAGTGTGTTGCTGCTGAACCTGCTCTGACTTCCTGTTCCTGGTTCCTTCAGGATCGTCATCATGGTGTCTGGAAAGCGCCTGGCCGACATCGGCTACAAGGCCTTTTCCACCTCGATGATACTGCTGACGGCCTACGGAGGCTACCTGTGCGCGCTCCGAGCGTACCGATACACGGAGAAGCAGAAACAGCTGAAACTGGCAGCAGAAAACCAGGATCCTGAAGTCATGAAAGGCTGACGTCAGATGTCTTTTTGCACAGATGTGGACATTTCCCCCCCAATTCCTCCTTCCTTTTTTTTTTTTTGTCCATTACTTAAATCATGAAGATGTTAATTCTTCTCAGGACGTTTGTGTGACTAAAGATATTGTTCCCTCGCAAGGAAGATGTTTAAAAAGAAAAAAAAAACACCACACCAAGCAAATTACCCAAGAAAATATTTGCATCAGTGGCCTATGTAAAAATCCATGTTGTGAATGACACTGTTTCAGGAGTGGAGATGGCTGTAATTGTTTGTACTATGTGATTATTAAATGCCTTTAACCACACAGTGCAGCGTGTAGCGTTTCTTAAACAGGACGGCGACAAGACAGACGTGTTTCAACAACAGAATATATTTTGGAAATGCATTTCTTTGAACAAGGCACTCAAGTGAGAACTTTGATACCAGACATTTAGTATAGTCCTCATACCTGGATTCCTCTATAGGCAGTGACGTCAAACTATTTCATAAACATTTGGTCGCAGAAGAAGTAGTAGAAAAAACAAACAGTAAAACAGAAATAAGTCACAAACAACGAGGTTAAAAAAGGTAAACCCACAATAAATCAGAGCAGAAACTGCTGCCGTTCAGACTTTGAAGTGTCGTACGGTCACGCACATAAAGCAGGTAGCTGATAAAACCACAACTATAACAGTACAGTCATTTATATCTATAATACCTGCCATCACATCACTGATTTAAATTTAAACCATCAGAGAGTGCGTCAGCCTTTTCTGCCCTTTGTGGTCCAGTGTGATTTACCCTTTAAAACAAAATCAAGTTCATCTGACCATTAAAACTGGGAGAGAACATTGAAACCCACCAACATCTGGCAGCAAATAAATCCCATCATTTAAAAAAAAAAAAGGCTTACGCAAAATCACTTCAACTGATTTCCACATCATTTCAGCTTTTACATGTCACCTCTTGAGTTGTGTCGTACATGTCATTACAGGGCTCGTCAAAGCAGATGTCAGTGTCTGTGTATCCACCATCAGTCCACCGACGTATGAATCTGTGCGCACTCGCTCTCAGTGTGATAGCAGACTGTGTGTGTGTGTTTGTTGGTGTTGGTGTGTGTGTGTGTGTGTGTGAGTGTGTGGCTGTGTGCTGTGAGCCTTGCATGTCAAGGAACTGTCACGAGACAAAAAAGCTCTATGGTAGACGTTGTGGAGGGATGAACTGCAGGTGGGCTCCCGGCTCCAGCTCATGTCACCACTGCTGTGGTTGTGACTCCGGCCTTAGCAGCGCGCAGTGGCATTAGTGCCGTTTTCTCCTTTGGGATGGTGGGAAGGCTTGAGGCCTTCTGTGGGCGTGTCGGGCTCGTCGTCTGAGCTGCTCTCAATGTCGCTGCGGACGTCGTTGCACACCTAGGAGGCAGACGGAGGAGGAAACGTCAATAAGCTCTCAAGATATTATTAATTTAACATTTAGTAACACACACTAAATTAATAATGTCCAACTTTGAAGTAATTCCATCACCATTACAAACACTGAAATGAAACACTGCTATAAATAAACATGTTTTGTCGTCACTTTTTTAAAACTCTGTCTTAAAGGTCCAGTGTGTAACATTTAGAAGGATCTATTGGGGCAGAGAAGGCAGGTATGTTTTCATTAGTACATAATGACCTGAATTATTTCTTCGTTTGATGGATGGACGGAAAGATTATTTAGCATTTTTGGAGCTCTATTATTTCCAAAATGTTTTTTTTTAACCTTTTTTTAATAGATGACGAATTGCTTTGCAGCTGCGTCCACAATTATTTTCAAATAAAGTATGAATTTAAGTCCTCCATCAAAAACGTCTGTTATTCTTCACTCTGTGTGGTCTTCGCTGGGTGGTGATACACTGTAATATACTATCTGGAGCCAGTCCAATGGTAAAATGTTGCCTAAATAGCTCCAGGAGGTGACTTTAATCTTTGTCAGTCTTTGTTCTGGTTAGGATGATCTTCTATTTGTAGCCACAGTTTATGGTTTAGTCCAGTGGGGTCGGCACACGTACAGCGGGTTGCAACATGAATCTGGTGGGTCACAAGATGATTGCCCACGTAGACGACAATAAGATTGTTTTTTCTGACTTTGATTTGCTTTGTTCTTGTGAAATACTATAGTATCACCCGTTTAAGGCTCTACAAAATGAGACAGTGTGAGCACAGAAACATAAACATAAAACACGTATTCAAATGATCCTTTAAGAGTCAGATCGCTGCCCCTTTTTTAGCTTAGTCACTGTACAAAGAATAACGCCGGATAAAAGCATTGAACCTGTGGTGTGCCAGGATTTTATAACTGAACTATGACCAGGATGCACACTTTTTATTTCTCTGACTGGGTGGAAATGCCATAAACATCACAGTTGACAAACAAAGACACTACAACGTGAGTCTTACAGGTGAAACGCGAGAGGCTCTGCAGGTGAATATCCTGATCCAGGTAAAGCCTTACATTAAACTGCTCACAGCGTACAGAAACACAACCGATGACGAGCGGCCGCAGGGAGATATTGCTTTATATTCATAAGCGAAAAGGGCTGGGAACCACTCGGTATGTATTTTATAGTGCAGTTAATTCAGTTTGCTACTGTTGTCTGATAAAGTCCCATAAATGTTTTAAGTCAGGCAAATCACCTGTTTTCATCATAACCACAGGGTGGTGGTGCTGGACAATGTCAACACGCTCCTCCTTAATGAGAAACAGTTGGACATACCTGACATTCATGACACTATTACCACATTACTCATCATTTACAACTCTGAATCTAAGTGTCGATCTACTGCAACTACACTGGATCCTTATGGAAATGGACAGGACAGGAGGAATTAAGATGTGTGAAAGGAATCACAACAAAGGGAAGTCAACAGAAACTTACAACCAGAGACAGAGAAGGTAAAGGTCTCAAGCGGACAAAGCAAACGGAGAGAAGCGAGAGAGTGGTTCGAGAAGGGCTCATTGGACAAAGACAGACAGAAAGACAGGATCTCCCTCTCTCATTCCAGAGGGAGAGGAAACAAACGGCGTCTGCAGAGAGAATGAGACAGAGTCAGGGACAGCTTGGAAAAAAGTGTAGAGGCAGCAAATCATCAAAAATAGAAATGGTGTTGTGTTGTACATTTCAATAAATGTTCTGCTCATGGACCGATGTCTGGCTGGGACTATTTTTTTTATCTGGTGTTTTTTACCCATTCATCAATCTAATCTAACTGTTATGTCTGATATATCTATCCACACACAAATCATTTAAAAAGACTTGTTATGTTCCTGCAAAAGTTTGGAGTTAATGTTTTAGGATCAATAGGTTGGGGACATTCTGTTAATCTTTGCTTACACAATAGTATTAAATGAGAGTTCTGAATACTTTTTTTTATCTAGGCCATTCTTGACGGAGTTTAAGCTGCACCAAACCTCATGAAATTACACCGTGAAGTGAAACTAACAGGTGGTCATACCAGAAAACTAAACATATCTTCTCAGAAGATGATTATTTGTATGTTATAGTAGCTGTAAAACACATTTTTAACAATTACTCTTGGGGGGGATAGCTTGGATGTGTTGGGTGTCAAACCCCTCGAGAGGTTATTACAGCAGGACTGCAGCAAATGAGGATTTTCATTATTCACTGAGAAAATAATTACTGGGTCACCAAAATGTCAGGAAATAATGCACCCATTACAGTTTCTGGTGACCCCAATGGAACATATTCATCTTGTTGTGTTTGACTAGTAGTCCAAAATCCAAATATTTTTAATTTCCTCTTGCATAAGACATCGAAAAGCAGCAAATCTTCACGTCTGAGAGGTTGAAACTAGTAAATGTTTGCTTTTATTCTTTAAAAAAACTGCAAATATACTGTCAAAATAGTTGGATATTAATTTTCTTTTGATCAATTTACCATTTAACAGTTACAGCTCTACATTACAGCACTTGTACAGTACTCAGTAATCTCCCCGGTCTGTGTGGCGACCCACCTTGCCCCGGAGCATGGCTTTGATGGCTATACGGGCTATGAGGTAGGACCAGATGATATGCAGCACTTGGAGGACCAGCAGTAAGAAGTTGAAGAGCCACCAGGACGGGTACGGCCCGACTATGGCCCAGCTCTCAAACATAGTGGAGTTCAGGATCCTGGAACAGACAAACACATATAAATGGGAAGGCACATATTTACTATGTAGTCTCTCATACACACTCATGCACACACCTAATCATTAATCCCAGCGAGCACAAAAAGTAGTCAAGCTCTACTTGAAACCACCACTCCTCTAATGAGGGCCATCATTACTGTACAGATTGCGTAATTCCCATTTGGATGTCACTGGCAACCAAGCAGGGGAGTAACATAGATTGACTGTAATGTCAGGTGAGTGGTTGGTGAGGTAGTTTTCCTTTAAATCCAGGTGAGGTGTGACAGGAGGTTGTCAACAGACCCACCTCCCCCAGCAGAGGTATGGATTTCAGTCCAGGTAACTGCACCAGCAACATTAGCTTTATCACTCATCCACACCAAGACACTGAATATAGCTGCTCAGGTTACTTTCCCCCTATTGTCTGCCTCTCTAGAGGTTGAGCTTCAACATCCTGGTCCCGTTCAAGGAATAGTCGCTATCCAAACAGCTCCCTTATGCCGCAGCATTAACACAGATCTCTGCAGTGCTCTGGGCATGAAGTAAAGTGATGATGAAATCCGACACCGTGGGGCGTGCTGGAAATTGCCTCATCTGATGTACAAGCTGGTGGGGGTTGCATCACTTTATAGTCATTTCTAGTCAACTGAGCATCTCCATGTGCTGTACAGGTGCTGTACTCTGATGCTGACCAGTGTGACGGGATATGTGCTGCAATTACAGTAATTTAAGAAACCAAAAACACAGTAGCAGTATATTGTTTTCTATGTAAGCATTTGCTTTTAAAACAAAGCTTAAAGATAGTGTTAGGCAGACATTTTGTAACCACAGCTCAGCCACCTTCACAGTCAAAGCTAGAATATTATTCTTGATTTCCAGCAATAAAGATATTTCCTTGCCAGGGAAATAAGATAAAAGCATTTTATTTGGCTTTTATTGACTATTTTATTGACTAATACTATAATAAATAAATAATTTTCATTCTGAGGTTGCAGGTGTCTCTGAGAACTCACCATATTGGATATATAACAAGTCGTGTAATGAAGAATACCACACTAAACACAATGAAGAAGAAATCACACAGGCGCTGGTACTTGGCGTAGTTGGCCAGCTTGGCTGCCTGCAGGGAAAGAAAATAACGGAAAATAACACTTTACGATGAGTTTTGTGTAGAGCATAATCTACCATGCATCAACCCTTTCTTATTCCTGGGTTCATACCACTAATCTGTTTGGAGTTCAGCCCGGGGCAAATGACTGGAAACGACAAACAACAATCGCATTTCATCTCCATTGTTTAGTGAAAACTGAACAATATCCCAAAAGGAAACTACGTTAAAGCTGCAGCTGCTCAAATATTGTATCAGCGGTATTCAAATGTTCCTCTCTATATCTTCCATATTTTTCTTTTTTTTGTTCAGTGTCAGAATATTAGTGATCATTTCTGTTCAACATCAGATGACTAAACATTGTTCTTTACATTAAGTGACTACTTTTCTTAGATATACCTTCCCTTGTTATAAAACCAGAAATCCTTTAAATACAGTTTGAGTGTGTGTGTTACAATGACAATAAAACGTAAATCTGAAATATTACAGTAGGCTTTGATAAGAGTAAAGAGATAAGAAGTAAAGTGAAGTGCAGTACATTTGATTTGTTGTTAAAACACGTAATGGGTACGGTAATTTCAACATATTCAGAGAATAACGTTGCAGTGTGTGATCACAGTCTACCTGACCTCTAGCAGGAAGTCAGAGGCATCGTGGACACACATCACGAGGCTCCCTACTCTCGCCATGTTGTTGACGTAGGAAAAGCTGATCAGGCTTACTGTAGCGAGGTGATGGATGAACATGATCAGAAAGTCCTGAAATGAAAAAGGAAGAGAGGTTAACATACGACGTACGCTGAACATTTACCATTAAACTGTATCTCTACACAAACTGCACCTCTTTGTAACACCGCAGTCAATTCCCTTAAGAACACGTAGGGGGCATCCTGGTGAACTAGTGACTAGAAGACACATACGTGTAACCTTAATGTCCCCAGTTTAACTCTAGATGTGTATCACGCCCCTCTGTCTTTCTTTTCCGACGTCACTAACAAATAAAAGCAAACTTCCTGTAGAACATTATTTGACATTCGACAGTTGACAGGAAGCATTTTGCACTTCAAAATCAAGTAATCATACAATCACACAGTCATGATAGCGCTTGGAAAATTAAGTAATCATCAGATAATGCAGACAGTTACAGAAAAAGAGCCAAAAAGAATTAAAAACAGAAAAAGAAGTCCACAAGTGTACACACTGTATAAAAGTAGTCTAAAACAGATTGAAGGTAGC